AGTCTTAAATAATTTTTCAGCTTACTTCTCTTGATGAGAAAATACATAAAATATACAGGAATGTGACTCATTAAGTATCAAAACTTTCTTTTTCAAGTTTTTGTTCATTAATTACTAAGCGCTCCCAAGTGCTTCAAGAAACCCATATTCATGGGCACAAATTTCCCCTTATCCCTCATAGTATCCATATTAAGAAATGGAGTTAATGCTAAAGGGAAAAACATTTACACAGTAGCTTACAGGCAAGCCAAAGCCCAAGAAACAGAACTTCAGCAACTAAACTTACATTTTTGGTGAACTGATCTTTATTTTATTACCTTACCTACAAATCATGCATGAATGCCCTGAAATAAGTTTCCGTTGAATAAACCCATTTTTACTCAGCAAAATTCAAAAGGGGAAACATCAGGCCTTTCTGGTGTAGGAAAAGCCTTTCAATAGTCCCTAAGCAATTTTCACAAAATAATAAAATGGACGCTAGTCTTACAGAAGTCTTGGCTTAATTTTACCAAGCACCAAGATGTGCCACAATAGTTAAGGCAAGGCAGAGACAAGTTACCAAAAAAGTTACTAATACAACAATATATTGCAGTCTGAAAACAGCCACTGTTTATTTACTGACCAGATTACAAAAACAATCATGGTGGATACCTGAAAGGGAGGGAAAAAAAAAAGCCCGTTAAAGAACCTAGCTGTTAATTAACAGATAATCGTAAATTACAATTAGTCTTACATTTCTAAAGACACAACTTATAAAAAAGATCCCAAGAATGAGTTTTTCCTCCTCTCCAGAAAGACTAAGTAAATCAACTATAATCATTAAAGTAACTGATTTTTAGCCCCCCACTAAGTATAGGATTAAAATTCAACCGAATCCCTATCAATGTTTAATGGGATAAATACTCTAGGTTATCACTTTTATTTATTTTAACATGACAGCTTCTGTCAGGCTGTAGTTTCTCACCTTAGTTCATCCTTCTAATAAGTCTGTTGATCTGGTCTTCCCTGTTGCCAGCATCTCCACCTTCTACAAAATGGGTGGTCTTTTTCTTCATTCCACCCCGTGGAGAAGATAATTTGAAGGGCCAAAGGAAGTTATTTGCTTCTTTAAAGCGTTTTCCAACAGTATAGATTTCATGAATCAGATCCTCCATGCAGATGATGCCGAATTTACCTGAAAATTATAGTTATTAAAAGTTTTAAGATTGCTAAGTTTAAGTGCATTCAACAAGTGCAGTGATAAGCTATGAGTTAAAAGCAAACCAAGGGTAAACAAAAAGGGAAATATATGACTTTCTTTACAAAATGATTAAGGTTCAAGCCAATAAAATCAAACCTTACATACTTCCTTATACTCAAGACAAGGATAGTAGGACATGTTAAGGTTCCTAACAGTGAGAATGCAGGACCACAAGATGCCAGAAAACAGAAAACACCCCAGTCTAATAAATCTTTCTCAAATAGAACATACCAAGAGATCGCGCAATCAAAGAGTTATCTGTCAAAGCAATTCGCTTCTTATTGATTTTGCCATAACCACGTTTGTAGATCAGTTCATTTACTGACTTCAGGTTTGGGTACCTGAAACATGAAAAGCACATGCAACTCATCAATAAAACCGATCAGTGGTAAAACATCTAGAATGTGTCTTGCTACACAGCCAATTTACCAAACAAATAGAAGGGAAAACTAGACCTACCCCCATGCAATATATGGTTCCACAATTCTCAGCATGTTGATTGAGGCCTTGTTGAGTTTAACAAAGGTGCCATTGAAGATCTGGCGAAGACGAAGAAGCTGCAACACCTTTCGAACCTTTGGGCTCACTCCATTGATACTACAGTGAAAAGGAACCAAAAAACTCATTTGGCTTTTAATCAGAATTGTTATTACCAAAACTGTCATTCTGGACAATATATAAGTCCCACATAAATAAACAGGAGTCTCTTAGGTTCCAGACACAAGACCACTAGCATTTTTCTGTTAGTGAAATTATTTTATCACCTCCCACAACTGAATACCTCCATTAAGCATCTCTCTTGATAATATCCCTGGCATTTAAAACGTCCCTACTCTTACCACACTATCTCAGTATACATTTTATGATCTATTTTAATGACCTCTAAAGGTAACGCCAAGACACTAAACTCCTCCAGTGATCAATTAGAAAGGAGATAGGAATTCTGGAGACAGTGTTTGTAACTAACCCTTTGTTCCGGCTACCCCTCAAATACTATTATTCCAGTGTTTCAGAATTACTGCTTCCAGGAATAATGCAAAGTTCTGCTGGGGCTGTGTTCCCTTAAATAAAACTAGAATACAGCGAACATGGCACTTACCCTCTGATCCTGATGACAAATGCCAATTTGGGTTCTGCAGGTACATAGAAGTTGCCAGCTTTTCTTGCCATCCTGGCCATGCGAATCTCAGTTCTGTACATCTGCCTATATTCCTTATGATAGTGCTTAGCTTTTTCATAGATAAGCTTCCTCCTTGCCTTTCGAAGCTGAAAATCAATTTATTATTAATAATTTTTAGCTCCCATAACAATTAGTAACACCAGCTCGTTAAACAAACAAAAAAACCCTGAATACCTTTTCTTGCCACAGTATGTAGTAACTTCTCAAAGACAAATGATACCTTCATTTGAGAGCATGACATTAAGCAATGAAACTGCTTAGCACAAGAGAAAACCGATTCAAAAGTTTACTGACCATCTTTTGAGCAAACTTCTTTCTCAGGCGCTTGATCTTCAACTCCGCAAAATTCCTTCGCTTTTTCTTAAGGGTTTCTGGCACAGCAGGAACCTTTTTCTTGGTGGCTTCTGCGGCAGCAGGAGCCTTTTTCTTGGTTTCTGCCGCAGCAGGAACCTTTTTCTTCTCTCTGGCAACAGCAAACACAGGCCATTATCAATAGTTCGAAAGTTTCACTGCACTATTACTCCCAATATGTACTGAGCATTTTAACAGAATGCTGTCACCAGCCCTTAACCACTGGTTCTCTTCAGGCGCTCTAACATGCTACAAGGTGAGACAGACCTGTGTTCTCTCCACACCAATAACTGCGAGCTTTAACGCAGCAACACGGATCACTTACACGGCCTTAACGCATCAACCCTGGTCTTCAGACACCAATAAAAATATCCATAGTAACTAAACATTACTAGACCGAAAGACTGCCGCCAAGTCACTAACCCCTAAGCTTTCAGAGGAAGCGGGACTACAGGGAAGAATTAACCCACCGCGAGTCTCAAGCTCCACATGCCGAATGCAAAAGGCCTGACGGCAGGGACGCCGGTCCCAGGTGTCAGCCAAAGGCAGAATCAATTCAGAGGTTCTGCGCCTTCCTCGAAAGACCTTCCACGGAGTACTGGACCTCCGCCCAATCTGCTGGTTTCGTATATTCCGCCATAGGCCCTCGTCCCTGATAGCTCTAAAACCTCCGTCCCAACGCCGCCCGCATCCCATCCCGGCTAAGGGTCCCCACTGGTGTCACGGGACGTCATAAACACACAAACAAATGGACAAAACGACGGTCTACAGTCCGGTAGGGAGAAAGTGAAGCAAATAGTGCCTGGTTTCGGTGATGGAGAAGGATTTCGAGGGGAACCACAAGCAACTTACTGAACGCCCTCCATGGTTCCAGCCGGAAAAGAGGAAGCTAGCGCATGCGCACTGTCCACTTAAAGACTGCCAGAGTGAAGCCCCAGGACTCATAGGTGTCCTAAAATAAGCCGGAAAAGAGCCAGAACTGAGAATCCGCCTTGCGGACTCGAAATTAAGAACTGCCTATTGTAGCCTCTTCCAATCAACGTTCGGGTAAAACATGTACGGGAAAGTAATATGCATTGGTTCGACTTTTTAATCCATGCAAAAGCAGGGTGCTAACACCTTAATTACCCGGGGTCCTAATCTATAGGCTGCGTTGGCAGGATCAGGCTCGAGTTCCACTCCATAAAGTACCCAAATTACACGGATCGTGAGTGCGAACTACAAATCCCGGCATGCATCACTCTGTCGCCCCAGCGGGAGGGCCGCTCCCGACCTGGACTGTAGGCAACCACCGCGATGGTGATTCCGGCCGGGACAACGAGAGTCTTTGGGGCCGCATTCCAAACGGCTTGCTGCGACTCAGAGTCGCCTTGGGCTGCCTTCACGGGTCTCTGCCACCGAGAATCACTGACGCCGGCAGCAGCCTCGCCGCGCAACCGAGGTCCTTCTCGTGGCGCCTGAGTCTGTAGGGCTGTCTTCCGCGGCGCCTGATCGCAGACGGGCCGTCCTGAGTTCCCTGGTTAACCGAAGTGGCAAGGCAGGGACCAGGGAGGACCGGACGGCAGAGGAGCATGGCCTGGACTGGGCCGGCCGCCGGGCTCGGCAGGCGAAGGTCGGGACACTATACAGTAGAGGGCGTAAGCGGCGAAAGGAGGTGTGACCAGGGCTGGTGTCTGGGGCCACCGCCATGTGAGAGGGCCTGCCCCGCGCTGCTCCGCGGACGCCAGGCGGGCGGGGGGCTGGGCCGG